AAACCACCCAAATGAAATCTCATTAATGTAGCCAGGTGTAGCATGTGCATGGTTTTCAGGAGCTGCAGTGCAGGAACAAGCAGATGGAAACAATGAAATAAGATCAGTGTTGGGCTGGAGGGTCTCTGACACCGATGAAACCAACTCTGGTTTGGCTGAGAAGATAAAATAGGACTTGTGACAGCACAACTAGGTGAGATGCCAGTTCATAAGAACATCCAAGAACTCCGTGGTTCAGGCAGCAAAGGAGTGCAAAGCAGCAGTGCTGCAGCAAAGACCTGAGCACCAAAAAGGATCCCACTGGATGAGAGTCAGTAATGTTTTACTGTAAGAAACCATTTGTCTCGGGATGCAAACAGGAATGCCATATGCAAGACACATTGAATGATCCTTCCACTCCAATGAATCTTGGTCGGGTCCCAACTGGAAGTGTGTCCAGTTTTACACATCACACTCCCAAAAACGTGACTGAAGCTCCACAGAAACGATCAGGAAAAGACAACTTACCAAAAACCACCCTGACAATTAACCTGGACGGAAAGGCAACACCCTCCTCCCCGCTCTGAATTGCATGGGTAAAAAGAATAGAGGTTAAAAGATAGGAAAGCAGGTTTAGATCAGATTTACAGGAGAACTTTCCAGCTACTAGATATGCAGGAACAGTTTATCTAACTTTGAATCTTAACAGTGGGAGCCGCGGAAAGTTAAGAAGAGCCTGAACACTCCGGCTTTACAACCTGGGGATGAATCACAGGGGTTGCATTGTCCTTTACAATGCAAGTCTTTACAACTGACTCCTCTAAAATAGTACCTGCAGCAGAAGAAACAGCTCACTGTGAAGGCACAAGTGCCCCTCATCCACGAATTTAACGAGATATAGTCTTCACACAGTGGTCTGCTGGAATGTCAGTACCGGCACTTATCGCCTCTTTACCTGTTCCCTGAGATCTGGTGGAAGTCGGTGCAGTTTCCAAGGATAAACACATTAGTCACACTGCTTGTGGTTAAGTTTCCTACGAGGGAGTTGTAGGAGGAAGGAGAATAGCAATGGTGGGGAGGAGAACAGAACTTTGAACATTCTCCTCGATGCTCAGCCCACACTCCTGCTCCAAAAATGCTGTATGAAACCATTCCTCAGCTTTATCTGGGGACCATTAAAAATCACGTCAGAACACAACCAGTGCAGTACGGGTGAGAAGCAACAGTCAGAAACAGCACTGCAAGGATAACAGGAAGGTTTCTCACTTGCTCTTCTAAGAAGAAACTAATCTTAAGAATTAATTGAACTAATTTCCCTGATTTTATGGTCATTTCTATTCTGGTTTCCACCAACAGAAAAAGCCACGTTCTGTTTTTAGCCAGCGAGTTAGTTCCTTCTCCTTCATCCAAGTAGAGGATGAAGAGAACAGAACTAAACCAGCACCACCTAACTTAATTTGTTTTTATTTCCACTTATGTCCAGCTTTGAATAACCCAAGCAATTTTAAGTCATCGAGAATGGTTAAGAATTCTCTGCACTTTGCCAGAAATTCCTGAAAAGGGAAGAAAACCTGCTAAGAATTGAACTCACATGTTGGTGTGCTGAAGAAACACTGCAGATTTCATGGGGAGCAGCCCAAGCATCTATTTCAGATGATAAAATAGTCTTTAAAACCCAAGCACTCCGTGGTGAAATTATTACTACACTGAAGTCTTTGGTTTTCCAACTGCTTGCTTAAAAATAAAGATATTGCTAAGGTTAAAAAACAGCAACTGGAAAAGTCATGTTCTTCATTACCCAACAGTCAAGCACCACTCCATAACCAGGATTCTGTCTGCCTGCTCTGGAGCACTGAAGTGATTTTCCAACAACTACCAACTGGAAACTGTGGGTTTAACACAGATCTGCTTGACAGACTGGCTTTTTCCAGCTGTTCTTTGTCATGTTTCCTCTCTTCCAACCCTCCTTTCTGTCACTTCACCTGAACTCTGCTCTGGATCCAGGGGATGAGCCAGTGTGCAGCACAAACCTGACAGTTTTCTCAGCAGAACCTTCAGGAAAAGTTCGATTTCTGACACGCACATTTTCCCTTTAGGTGTTTATGCAAGAGCTTTAAAAATAAGCCACACAAGTGTCAAAAACCTACTTCCAGTTTAGTAAGCTTAAATCCATAGGTGAGGCTGACTCAATACATTCTGAATTACATTAACTCTGGAAAAATCACTGGTAATTCAACAGCGATCTCCTGCTAGAGGCAGGAAAAAAAAGCTGCTTCCCACAAACCCTCAGGATTCCACTGGGCATTTACTGCACCAGGTGAGTGGTGACCTGCCCTGCAGTTCCAACAGGTCCATGCCCATTCCTTTATCATCCTGAACTCACAGGGTTCAACAGCACTTGGACTATCACCTTTCCTTACACTGACAACTCCACATCAATAATAGATAACAAAACTCTGCATATGCACTTTGGGATCCTTCCCTGCACCTTCAAAGCACCACGTGTGGGAGAAGTTTTGTTTTCAAAGATGTCACCGACAGACTTGCACAAGCCTGTTCAAACCACAGCATCGTTTTTCTAATGACTTACAAGGAATAGACACAAGTCAGGAAATGGTTGGACCTATCCTTCAGGCCAAAGAGGAATTGTTCTGTTTCATTAAGTGTCTCATGGGCTATTATTTGTTGAAAAAGAAACCAGTTCCTCTGCAGCAGGGCCTAAAATCTTTGAATTAAAACTGGGGTAAAGATTCAACAGGAGCCATAACCTCAGTCAGAAGGATCTCCACCTTTCACTTGCTTTGAAGTGCTCTACTCCTTCCCAAGCAGACTTTCACTCACCTGTGTAAGCTCCCACAGAATTAGAGATACTCAGAGGCTCCCTCACCATTTAATTGTCTGGATGACCCTCGTTAACCAAACAAAAATTAAGGAGCTTCCAGGATACACCTGTGATCTGCAATCTTCCCTCATGCCAAGATCTCCTGCTCTTGGTCAGCTTCATGCCAGGCATGGAAGTCACAATAAAGACACTTTCCAGCTATGCCCAAAATTTGATCGTTGACCTCCAAACATCTAAGTCCTGTCAAACACCAAATGCCTGCACTGCTTACCAGCCATTTGGAATTGCTATCCCAGCTGCTGGCATTTAACACCTTGCCTGCTAACTCTGCACAGGAACAGCCTCAGGAACATGACCCATTTTAACTTGCTTGTCAGAAAACCCAAATTCAAGGGTGGAATTTGTGTGGAAACACACCAAAGGCAGATTAACCCTGCGATGAGAATGCTCAGGTGGCACAGGAAGCATGTCTACAACAGAGACCCACACTTCATCCACAACTCATCCCAATGAGCACCTCCCTGGGAGCTCACAGAAGCCAGGTCCCTAATTCGCACTGAACTCCAGCAGGGTTTTCCCCACACTCTTGTAGGCTTCACAAAAAAAAGTGCTTCATTCCAGAGAAAGCCTCCAGTTTTCATTCAGACAGTGTGGATACCAAAGCTGCTTCTGCTTAATTAACAGAGGCAGACAAGCTCAGTTTTGGTTTCAGACTGCAAAATCTGCACCTACTAAGGCACAAATTTTATCTGGGACCACTTGGTCTAGTGGAAGGTGTCCCTGCCCATGGCAGAGGGTGGAACGAGATGAGTTTTAATGTCCCTTCCAAGCCAAACCAGTCTGTGATTCCATGATTCCATGACTCTATGATTCCTCTAGAGCAAGGAGCAGAGGAAGCTAACCTCATGCTGCAAGGCAAAATCCACCTCAACAAAAGCAGAACACTAGGACTGAATATTATCTGCAGAGCAGAAAGGAAGGAGAGAGAAAGAAGGATGAAACAACGAAAACTAGTGGGGAATTGGCGTGTTAGCAAGGTAATCCTTCCTTCTAGGCAAATTTTCCCCATGGACGTAGATCAGTCTCCCGTGAGCCAAGATCCCTGCCCTTCCCCGCACTTACAGGCCAAAGCATCCCTGACCATGATGCTGCAAGAGAAGCCGCTCCAGAGGGCCGGTGCTGGAGCAGCCCCGGAGCAGACAGACCCTGCCTCGGCTCCCGCCTGGCCTGGCAGGATCAGACAGGCATTTTTATCAGCGCTGCAGGATGTTCCTTGGAGCAGGAGGCTCGGCTGGACCAGCCTCTTGGCCCCGCTCCGCTCTGCCACTAATTGTCATGCACTTGGCTGCGAACTCACCGGGAGGAGGCACCGCGCTGGATTTAGCTCACGCTATCCTACAAGGAACAGAGGAGGCTTGGGGTGTGGTGGGCTTTTTTTTTTTTTTTTTTTAATTCCTTCTTTTACGCTCCTATCAGAAGGACCTCTCCAGTTGCTAAGGAACTACGGGGTTTATTGCATTATAAATGATTTAAGGCGGCCCGGCAGATGCAGGTTCAGTAGGCGGGAGGAGATGAGGAGATGTTCCATTTTACCGGCGGCACGAGGCGCCTCAGGAGGAGCCGGGGCGGGGGGGGAGACGAGCCAGCTCCCCCTTCTCCTCCTTCCCCCCCTTCTCCCCCTTCCCCTGAGGGACCCCAGGACACAGGGATCCCCCCAAACCCCTGGGTCGCCCCCCCACCCCCGGGGTTGCCCACAGCCCCCCCGCCGCCATAGCAACGCGCGCCCCCCCCTCCCTTCCTCCCTCCCCCCCGCCGCCGCCCTCCCTCACCGTTCTGCGCCGCGGCGGGTCCCGGCAGCAGCGCGGCCGTCGCCAGCAGCAGCGAGAAGGCGGCGGGCAGCGGCCCGGAGCGCGGCATCCTCCTGAGACGGGGGCAGGAGAAGGAGGAGGAGGAGGAGGAAAAGGAGGAGGAAGGAGAGGAGGGTGAGGCGGCGGCGGGAGCGGCGGCGGCTCCGTCCGTCCTTCTCCGCCGACCTCCTACCGCAGCGCAGCGCCCGCTCTCGCGAGAGCTGCCGGGGGCGGGGGCGGCGCCGGGTGTGAGGGGGGCGGGAGGGAGGGGGGCGGTGTCACCGCCGACCCCGCCCGGCCCCGCCGCCATGATGCCGCGGTTCGGCCCCTTTGACTCAGCCCCACCGCGGCTTCCAAGCCCTGCCTCCTTCTGCCCGCCGAGCTCCCGGGCCGGCGGCTGGAGAGAGACGCCAGGGCGGCGGAGAGCTAACCCTGCCCCGCCTGAGGCTGCTGTCCCCTCAGGGGCGCCATGGCGGAGCCCGCCTGAGGGATCCGTCCCCTCAGGGGCGCGAAGGGCGGGATAGCGGAGCCCGCCTGAGGGATCCGTCGTCTGAGAGACAGAGATCCATCCCCTCTGGGGCGCCCCTCCAGCGGTGTGAGGGAGCACCACACTCCTCGCTTCTGTTCTTCGTGGGCTTACAATACTTGCAAACACAGGGCAAGAGCTCTGCTCGTACCTTAAAATTGAGAAGTTCATGTGCCGTTCTGCAGGGATTGCAGCCTGTCAGGGGAACCCGAAGTCCATCCCAAATTGTTCAGCTTCAGGGCCATACACCCAGAAAAGACTAGAATTATTTTAAACACTATCCATCACGGCTACTCTTTCGTATAAAATAAAGTGTTTTTTCAAGGGCCACGTCTGTTTTGCACAAGTAGGAAAACAAGGCCGCGTGAAGCAAAGGTGTTTGCCCCATGCTAGTGGTGGAATTGGGGGCAAAAAGCACAAAGACTCACGCCTGGCTCACTGGCCCAGCCAGGTGTCCTGAAAATTTGCTGTAGGTGAGCTTTGGGGGGGATTTCTCTTACTTTCATAAATCACAGGTACAGGTCACTCCTTGCACTGTGGTTGCTGTGTTCTGTGCTGGTGGTGGGAAGATACAAGACTTGCAGGAGATAATGGGACAGACCAGCAGAGGACACTGGGAAAAAAAAAACAAAAGAAGAGCAGAAAATCCCTCAAAACCAGATTTTCATCTTTCTGCAGAGTCCTCAGTTTCCAATCCAGAGATCTCTTTGGGCCCAGGTGTGCCCACAACTAGGGGTGGAATGGGAGGTGGGTGCAGCATTGTGGTAACATCCAAAACTGTCCTGATTTCCTGACTTTGTATCCCTGATCCTTTACCTTGCCCAGGTCATTCTCAGCTGATGGTTAGCAAACAGACTCCAAGTCCTTTTATTGCAGCTGTGACTCACTGAAAACAAGGATCAGACACACCTTTTCCATGAAAACCCTGCTGAACTGACTGCCCCAGCGCTTCAGGACTTGGATGAGGATCGTAGGCTTAGTGACTGCAGCTTCCCAGGGCTGAGGTCACTCGTGAGGAGTGTTTTTGGGCATGTGCTGGTGCCATACGTCATCCTGGCTGCCCCTGCCTCTCCAAGGATGCCGGATTTGATGTGCATTAGAGATTCCACTGCGCTGGAGAATTTCCATGGTGCATTTCCATGACTCACTATTCATGCCAGCTGATTCATCTGTGTGACACTACCGTGTGTTTTCTTGTGGTGTGGAAACATCCTCTTTTATCCCCCTCTGTGGAGCAATTCTGACAGTAGCCCTTGCAAACCAGACAAAATGGGGAAAAGGATCCAGAAATCGTGGCTTTGCGCAGCGGTGTCCTTCTTCCTGCTCTATGCATGCTGTTTTTCCAGCTGAATATTAGCTCTGGAGGATTTTTCTCTAACTCTCCTCCTTGCAAACACCCACTCGGTATTAGGCCTTACCTACACTCGACTGTTTTCCAAGTTTGGAACTAGTTAGCGCTGTGCTTTTCTGCGAGCAGGGTTTGGATCTGCACAGTAATACTCCTTCCGTAACCATGGCAGCTCAGGGTGACTCACGCTGCCACAGGCCTGGGCCCAACTTAGCAGGAGGATTATTCTCCCCTCTGTCACCAGCTCAGCACGCTGAGAAGCTGGAGCTTCTCCCCACAGTTGCATAACTGAGCCCTCAGGTTGGCGTTCCTTCGGGGACAACGCCAGGACACGGTGCCCTGCTGTCCCCTGGAGCCTCCCTGCCGGGCTCCCATCGGAGCTGGTTCCCCAGCCTGGTTAACGAGGGTGCTGCACACACTGAGCTGACCTGTGGGTTTGGGATCAACACACATGCTGTGAACGTACAACACAAGAAACCCAAAAAGGTGATGTGCTCATGGATCTGATCCGGAGCTTGCTGTTGCCTTCAAGAGTCTGTTGGCGTATATGAAGTTCCCACAGATCTCTAATATATAAATATATATATATATGTGTATATATATATATATATATAAAGAAGATCTATTCCTGCCATACTCAGGTATCCAGCCATAATATAGGGTAAAAACCTGTTGTTCTGCCATGCATGAGTGAATCCTCTTGCAACAACTTGTATTTATAGGGGATTTCTGGAGGAATTCACCAGCAATAGATTCAACATAGTGGCTGGTAGAAAGGAAAGGCCTGTTATTCCACCAGATTGAGTCTTTGCAGGCTGATGGATGATGTGTTTGGCTGATTTCCTCATGGCGATTCCTAATTTCATGAGTGGCAGGGGAAACTCAGCCGTGGCAAAGTTTCCAAATCTGTGCGTTTTCGCTTCGGTCAAGACCCATCTTTTCACCTGGGGTATCTCAATTTTGATTATTCTCTGCTTATTCCTTAGGACTTCAGCACAAGGACAGAAAATCTCAGAAACAAAACAAGCAAAGGGGAAGAAAAAAACCACCGTAATCAGCAGGAAATTCAGGAGAGAGTTTCAGTTCTCAGAGAGTAGCAAAGAGGTATCGTCCTTTTTTTATGTGTGGGGGGAATCTTTTGAGCTTGTCTTCTTGCAACTGGAATTGTTTAAGAGATCCCCGTTATTTCCATGTGTTTACTGATATGCTTTGGGACTTGAAGGAAGTTTTCATAGAATGGTTTGGATTGGAAGGGACCTTAAAGATCACTCAGTTCCACCCCCTGCCACGGGCAGGGACACCTTCCACTATCCCAGGTTGCTCCAAGGCCCATCCAGCCTGGCCTTGGACACTTCCACGGATGAGGCAGCCACAGCTTCTCTGGGCAACCTGTGCCAGGGCCTCCCCACCCTCACAGAAAAACATTTCTTAGCTTTGCCTGACTTGCAGTGACCCTGTTTGGAATCTATTACCAGTTGAAAGTGTAGGGTAGAGTATCAAACACTCGCTGACGTCCAACAGCAAACCTCACCTTTTGCAGCTGAGAGACGCTGGATAACATCAGTTACTGCTTTGAGGGCGACATGCCAGGGAAAGCACCGATCCCAGAAGGTAACTCCGACCTTATGCATGTGATTAATGTGTATTAATCTCCCCAAAGGCACAATGGCAGGTGGAGAACTACATGAACCTAATCAGATAACAGAATGGAGCCACCAAACAATGGTGACACCGCCACAGTGAGTCACCAGAAAGGCTCTCTGGCTCATACAGGCAAGTGCTGCACAGGTGACCCTTCCAGTTTTCATCCTGAAGGGCCAGAAAAAGATTAAACTGCAAAATTAGCACTCTGAGGAATGAGAGGCGAAGGAAAAGCTTGTCAAATCACAGAGCGACATGCTCCGAGGGATAAGAGTCAAAGGAAAAGCTGCTGAAACCAGAGAAAAATGGGATATAAAAAAAAGAAAAGAAAGATCTCAGGGTAATAATAATTAAAAAAAAAATCTAGATGTGCTTTGTTATTTAGCAGAAAGCTGACTTGACACATCTCAACCCCATGGGTAATGGCAGCTTGGTTATTCCAAGCCATCTCCCATCCTCCTCCTACATGTTCAAATATTCCTGTCAGAACTGGTCAAAATGTTTTAACTTGATTTTTTTTTTTTTATTTTGTTATTTCTGAGCAGAAATGTCTTTTCATGCAAAACAAACATTGTGACAGAAAGGGTAACTTTGGTCAGGATGATTTGTAATGTAAACAAGGAGTCCAGTGAGAAATATCATCATGTTTGACATCAGCTTTGTTATGACAGAAATCTGAAGTTTGTCTAACCTTATTTTCTGCAGGAAAGGAGATAGAGAGACAAAAAGAAATCAAACTGCTTTTTTTTTTCCTCCCCTCCCCCTGACCCAATCCAAAATTATTTCTCTCAATTGCAGGTTTTTCATCCATCTCAGCCACGCCATAATGTTTTTCTCCACCCAGTTTTTTAGGGAACTGGGTCCAACAACTTAGTTTCCAGTTACAGACACACAAGAGCCATTCCCTGACCTCGTTATCCTGAGGAAAAGGATATTATCCTGCTGCTTTTTTTGAGAGCAGCTCCATCCAGCCACAGGCAGGATGTGTGGGGTCAGCTGTCCTGCGCTTCAACTTGCTCTTGCATGCTGTGAGTCCTGGCAGGGGGCTTCCTAGGAGGCACAGGGGAAAACCTGAACATCTGGAGCAATTTTCGGGATGCAGAGGTGAGGCTGTGGGTGATCCGTCAGGACCAGACGGCAGGTGGCACCCCTGGATTAGCACAGGCTGGGCAGTGCCTGCAGCTGGGCTTCAGCTTCACCCTCCATGAGCCACAGTAGCAGGGATTTGGGCTCTTTTGCTGCCATGCAGGGACATCCCTGTGTCCTGGGGCTACTCCCCACAGGCCAGACTATTCCCATCGCATTTTATTTGCCTGGGGACTCAGCTTGGCTTTGGACAAGGGGTGCCCACGGCAATCGGGGGTGTTGTGCCAGGGCACTGCTCCCAACGGGATAGGGAAGTAAAGGGAACACCATGGCTGGCAGGGAAGGACCAGTGCCAGGGTACCTGAGTAAGGAGAGCAGGAGGCAGCCGGGGGCAGCCAAGAGTCCCTGTCATCCTGCACATTCACAGCAGTAGGGCAGGCTGGAGGAATCAATCCATAGGATCAATGCTGGTGCGGGCAGCCACAGCCAGGTGATCCCTAGGCAGGTCCAAGGGGACAAAACAGATCTGAGCTCAAGCTGGGAAATCGGTCTAGATCAGGATTCACATCAATAGGGCCTATAGCTGCAGGTATAACTGGGACTAAACTAGACCAGCACCCCAGAGGCACAACTCAAACTGGGACTAGCCCTGGGCTGAGCTTAAATGGGCTCCCAAGCTCATGGGCAAGTGTGGCTGGGAGTCCCATCCCAGGCGGGGCTGCTCAGGGCCGTCAGTGCCCCCAGGACTTGTCCCTCAGCCTGCAGGCACTGGTTGCTTGAGAGGTAGAAGAGCCTGTGCCATCCCCAAAGTGCTGTTTCGTACATCAGGGGACATCTCAGCGAGCCATGTGGTCCCTCTTTTTTTCCCCAGGGATATATTTGGCTGTGCCACCCTGGCCCTCTGCAGCGGAGGTCACTTGGTTTGTTCAGCCTGGAGGAGACTGAGGGGAGACCTCAGTGGGGCCTTCACCATCCTCATAAGGGGCAGTGGAGGGGCAGCACTGATCTCTGTGGGGACCAGTGACAGGACCCGAGGGAGGTAAAGGGAATCGCCTGAAGTTGTGTCAGGGCAGGTTTAGATTGGATATCTGGAAAAGGTTCTTCCCCCAGAGGCTGGTTGGGCACTGAACAGGCTCCCCAGGGCAGTGGGCACAGCACCAAGGCTGCCAGAGCTCAAGGAGCGCTTGGACAACGCTCTCAGGGACAGGGTGGGATTGTTGGGGTGTCTGGCAGAGCAGGAGTTGGACTGAATGATGCTGATGGGTCCCTTCCAACTCAGAGTATTCCATAATTCCACAATTCTGTGAATCCCTCCTGGGCCGGTGGGGGAACACCCCCGTTCAGGTGCCCTCGGGGGCACTCGTTCCCGGGTGGGGCTGGAGCAGCTCCGTGCCCGGCCGTCGATGGCAGCTGTGCTATCATGGCTCTGCATCGACCGCCGGCTCCCGCCCCGGCCCCGCCGGGCACAGCCCAGCCAGGCAGAAACGTCGATACCCATCTGCCTAAACGACGGGGATTCCAGTGAAATGGAGACAATGAGCCTGCGATCAGCGTGAGGGTGAACAGAGGGAACGGCCCAGCCGGGAGGTCGTTACTGAGCTGGCAAACAGCAGCCCCGGCAGCACAGGCTGCTCGGGGTGGTGCCGCTGGTTATCGCATCTATTCTATGTGGTGCTCGTTTTCCACATCCCCTGCGGGTCATCCTTTACCAGCTAAATCAAAATTAAAGGTATTATCCAGCCTTTACAGTGTGGTAAATGGTAGACTTGGATACAATTTTCCTAGTCCTGCCTGATGCAGGTTAGATTAGACATGGGTTTCTCTAACCTTAACGGCTCTGTCTGATCAGAATTCTGTACTGCCCTGGGGCACATTTATTTTAGCCAATGATGCAATGGTTTAATAAAAGTGATTTGGTGAAACCTGAGGCTCCCTTCTCCCTCGAGAGTATGACACCCAAAATAAATACAGTCTTGAGAAAGAATGGGTTCAGCCAGGGGGGCACAAATAGACTTCAATGGCCTTGAGCAGCTTCTTGTGGGACCCCCAGCCACCCACACCCTCTGCCCATTGCTCCATATAAGCTCAGAGCCCGTAGATCTCTTGGTTTGAGCTGGAATGTGGATAAGTCAGTTCTACCTTGGGCTTCCAGACTGGTTTTATTGGAGTGGGATTAAGTTCTCTCGTGTAGGTGGCCCTGTCTCCTGTCTGAGCAATGAGGAGGAATGTGCTGGTGGCTGAAATGGGGTTTTTCATGTCCCCTGCTGACAGGTAGGGTGTTCCTGGCATCCTGTGAGACCCCAAGGCATTGGCAGTGCAATGAAAAGGGCCATTTTCCTGATGCACTTGGCTCTTTGGGAGCTGGAAGAAGAGGGATGGAACATGAAAACCTTCCCAATACTGAGGTATGACGCACCAGATCCAGACACTTTCTCCCAGCTGGATGGGGATAGCAAAATCCTAGAGTCATCTAGACTAGCCAAAAAATATTGTTATAACCCCTGAGAAGTGGATTCAGGGCTGGGGCTGTGCTGGTTGGTGCCATGTGTTGAGGTGTCCTGTGCAGGGCCAGGAGCACAACTGGGATACTCCATGGAATATCCAGCTTGGGATATTCCATGATTCTGTGCCCTGCTAAGGCCTGGAAATGAGCTAAATTGGGAGAACTGTGCATTTTTCGTGGAGATTTTAGGCTCTGTGTGCATGTTGGGGATAACATTTGGCCTTCAGACTCTTTTGAAAAACGAGCTACTGAGGAAGCTGCGGTGGAGGGGCTTGGGAACAGCTTCTGGAGGCACGAGCTAAAAGAAAAGCAATTTATGAGGAGAATATTTTTTTATCAGTAGGAGAAAATGAACAATGGGGATAACAGTGAGTGACCAGGGGCTCGGCTGAGTATCTCCTGTATCTCCCCTCCAAAAGCTTGGAGGACTGTCAATAGGGGATGTTTAATTGATGGCAAACATTACTGCTGGTGCAGAATCTGAGCTGCTCCAGCCTGAGCAGGGAAGACTTTTATAGCAGCGAACAGATGAGCATTGTAAAAGATGACTGTGATTCTTTGGGCATTTCTGGGTTAGATTGCAGTAAAATTGCAGCAAAAAGCAATTTTGCTTTAATCAACTCTATAACAAAGCCTCAACATAGTAAAGAGCAGAAGGCATCAGAAGATAGGAAATTGTCAGCCTTGCTGGAGCTGAAAGATAAGATTGTACTCCCTACAGCTACACTAAAAGAAGATAAATTATCCATAGGGGCAATTCAGAAAGAAAATAATGTACAATTAAAGCTGTTTGAATTACAGTTTTGGGGAAGAACGGGTGGAGGAAAAAGCCAGTTTCAATGGAAAGTCTGAAACCTCCTTCCCATGTGCTTTTAGAAAGGAGAACTAGTTTTGGGAAAAGAAAAAAAAAGATGATAAATTGGGCAGGGCAACCTAGGGAACAGCAAAGGATGTGTCTCTCTAAGGGACCTTAGAGAGAGATGCTGAGCCTAGGGGGGTGTATGCATGGGAAGAGAACTGGCTCTGAGCTTGGCAGGAGCAAGAGGCAGGTCTGGGAAAGACTGAAGAGTGGCAGGAAGGCTGGAGATCTCATCTCCGGAGGTCCCTGCCAGCAGTCCTGGCTGGTTTGCCTCTCCGAGCCTGTGGCTGGGTGGGTGGTGGAGGATGGCTGTGCTCCAGCAATCCTGGGGTGCCAGGAGCAGAGGTGGAGCTTGTGCAGCTGCGACCAGGAGCATCTCTTCACCCCCCATCCCCTCCCCGGGGTCTCCAGGCTCCAGCACGTGGTGCTGTACCCTGAGATGCTGGTGGGCTTTGGGAATGGTTTCCAAACTTCAGATAAACCTCGGTCCCAAGGCCACGTGGTGCTCAGAAAAAGCCGCCGAGGAGGGTGCAGAGGTATGTGGTTATTTCAGGCTGACATCTGCCCTTCTTTGGGCTTGATTTGAGCAGAGTGCAAACAAACCACAGGGTAAAGGTTAAAAAAAGCTGCCAGAGGAGTGTGTTTGCACGAGCAAACTGTCCTGGAGGTCCCTGTATTCCAGTGGGGGGCTTCCCCTGGGCACTCTGCAGGGCAGGTGGGACCTGTGGCCTCATCCCCAGGTGGGTCCACGCCACAGACCTCCCCCGAGGCCCATCAAGCTGCCGCAGAAGCGTGTGGGAGCAAACAGCCGATCTTCAGCTTGTCGTGACAACGTCTTTGCCTGCCTTTGTGAGTGGGAATCTCCTTGTGGGACTGTTCCTAAGCAGGCAGCAGGATATCTGGGAGAAAGTCGGTGTATCCTGTGCTGCAAGATCCCCTAAAAAGCTGACGGTTCCTCTTACCGTCCCACCAGCCACCTGTTGAGGGGGCCCTGCTCCAAGCAGATGGTGTGGGGAGGACTGTGGTGGGGATAATGGTGTGAACGTGGCATCTTGTGCACGATGCATTTGACACGTTGCCATGGGACAGCTGCAATTTATGAGCCGAAAGCATCAGCCGCAGACAAGCTGCGTAGTGACTTCTGCAGTTGCCATCTTCCCTTCCTTGCTGGCAGCTGCCTTGGAGGAAGAGAGGAATGAGGAGGAGGAGGAGGATGCTGGTGCTGAGATGGAGGAGCTGCTTTGGGAAGGGCTTTTCTTGGAAAAAGCTCTGTTCTGTGAAGCACAGGGTGGGCTCCAAAAATATGTGAGCCTGGAAATGTGGTGCACTTGAAATCAGCTGCTCTGGGAGCAGCAGCGTGGGGGTTATTCCATCTCAAGGCTTCATTTCCATCGGATCATCCCTTTCCCACCGCTGTAATAACTCCTTCTCCCCTGTGAGCTCCTGGGAGATCTGTGGCCCAGGTTATGGCTGGGATGGAGCAGTGGATGGGCAGCCAGGACGTGTGCTGGCACCCTGGGCTGTGTGTGCTGCTCTGACTCCTGGGGAATTCCTACCCAGGCTGGTAGGGGCCAAACCACCCCTTCAGCTTTGACCTTGCTTCAGACTTAAAGTTTGCTAATGCATTGTTGGGGAGAGGAGGGACAGCCACACACTTAGTTTTCCTAGGAAACTGGGCTTGAAAGGGATATTGGGAGTGTCTAACAGCAGGGACACCAGTGGCATCGTGGTGCCCTTGCTGTAGGGATGCTGCTGGGGTCACTGGTGGGCACCTCCCAGGCAGGAGCTGAGATCCAAAGTCTCGGGATATAATGCAGCCTCACACTCCTGGCTGTTTACATCATGGATGATTAAGGTTATATTTTGGGGGAGAATAGCATAAAGCTTTGTGCTGGAATCAGAGTCATGGAATGGTTTGGGTTGGGAGGGAACTTAAAGCTCATCTCATTCCGCCCCCCTCCCATGGGCAGGGACACCTTCCACTATCCCAGGTTGCTCCAAGCCCCTGTCCTGGCCTTGGACACTTGCAGGGATGGGGCAGCCACAGCTTCTCCTGGCAGTCATGTTGTAAATAAAAGTGTTGAGTCAAGCAGTGCCTGGGGAGAGCCTGTTCAGCTTTGAGGCTTGAACATGTGTGCAGGTAAGTGGGGAGCAGAGCTGTCCTCTGTACCTCATCCCGTGTGTGAGTGGGCTGAGTCCCTGATGCCCGGGAATGGTTTGTTCCTCCATGAGGGCTCTTTTGAAGTTCCGCATAGCCGGGCTGTGGTGTCACTGCCTTCCCTGGGACGTGGTGATCCCGTCCTGCAGCTCCACTTTGGCACTGCTCAGGTATTTATTCCACTTGATTTCCCTCGAGGTTGGCTGTGCTGTTGCTGCCGTGCTGCCTACATGGAGTTTACTTGTTGTTGTAATATGGGGCTTTGAGTTTATTGAAGAAAAGACCTTAAGGAAAGGTTTTAGAGATAACCCTTCTTTTTCCCAAACCATGAATTGATGAAAGGCATAGTGAAAGTAATCTTGCAGAGGTGTTGCTGGGGAAAAGAAAAGCCTGGTGACTTTTCTCTGATAAGAAAATACCTTACTAATATTTACAGATAGCTGGGCTGC